CTTTGGGTTCTTTGTATTCCGGCTTCAAACCTCTGTTGAAAGAGAAAGTTATTTTTTAAATCGAAATATTTAAAAACTGTTTTTAATTACCGAAGAAATTATGAACCAAAAGTTCGGAACTCATACGGTTTATAAAAAAAAAAGATTTTTAAAATAAAAAACTCATAAAAAATAAAAGATTTTTAAAATAAAAAAACTCATAATTTGTGTACAGACAATTGTACATACACCATATTCTCCGATGAACGATTTAGCAAATATAACCACATTGAATAGTTCTACTTGCAATATACTCAAAATCTCTTATAAATTAACCTTTACTCGATATGTAATAACTTCACATTTTTTGAAAATTAAATCAACTTTACGTAGAAATACTAAATATTTAGTAAACAAAAAAAAAGGGCTTTCTCCTATTTTTAGGCTTTAGTATATAACTGACTAAAACAGATATTACAATTTTCCAGATGTATTTAAGTATCAAATTATGAATTTTTTAAGTATCAAAATTGTAAAACCGATCAATTTACACCAAAATTAATTCAATTAGCAGTCGTTTGATTCCATGAGCTTGAAGTTCTAAAAAAAACAGAGAAATTTGATGTACGCACTTAATAATAATTAGGGTGTAAAAGTGTGACTGCTGAAAAAAAAAAAAGTGACTTTTCTTTCTTTTAAGTACTTAAAGATTTAAGCACACACATGATAAATTTAACAAAAACAAAGAAAAAGAAAATAAATTAGGGGTTCCTCGTCACTGACGCGGTTTCAGTGGATCTCACACAACAACAACACTGAGAAAAACTTTGACAACACCATTCTTCCTTGCGTCTCTATCTGCTTAACCCACAAAATTGCAAAATCTCTTTTTTTTGTTTGCTCATGCGACAGATTTGAAAGAGCTTTGTGGAGGAAGAAGATAGATAATTCCAAGATACGGGTCTTTCTTCTTTTGATAAATCCGTTACTCTTTTTGGATGATACACTATCATCTTCCCGGAAAATTCGGCTCTGATAAAAATCCAAAAAAAAAAAATTCTGTAAATGGTTGAAATTCTCTGTGAATATCGACGGCTCTTGTTGAATTTGGTTGCTGCATCTTCGTGGGTATCTAAAAGATGTCGCAAAAAAGGGAATTTGAAGAAGGGAAAGCTCGTGTGGAAGGTGGCTCACCGGAGGATAAGCGTAGAAGATTCAAAAGGTATAATTGTTTTGAGGTTCTTAGTTAGGTCGAATCAGTAAGCATCCGTGTTGGTTTTGGATATGGATGATATATAGTATAAGCTCTCATGGGTATGAATTAGAGTTTTAAAGCTTTGAACTTTATACCCCCATGGCTATGAACAAGAACATATTGAAACGAGATGACAAGTGAAAGAAGTGATTTTTAATTGATAGCTGAGCATCTATGATTAGGATATGAGCTTCTGTGATATTTTTGGAGAGGACTAGTTGATCATTGTGTTATTGGCTTGGAAGTTATAAGTAGGTTCTTGTTTTGTCTAAACAAAGAGTGAAGATCAAATTGGATTGAAACACAAGAGTACTCACACTACTAGCACGTATGACACTGCATAATTACCATGAAGAAGCTTTGTTTTCCTGGGTCACTAGCTATGGACAAAGCAACAATGTTTAAAAAGTTTAGATTTTCTAAAGTGATGCTTATTATCATCCAGCTAGTGTGAACTCCTATATCTGACTTTGGATCCAAAATTTAGTGTGGTTCAGGAAGTAATGAGATTGCAAACCGTCAAACATCTTCTCGAACCAGTTCTCGAGCCCTTGATTCGTAAAGTGGTATGTATCATGTATATAGTACCTTTCTCCAAGGATTCCGCGTCTGTTTTAGCGGTTTAATTTATGGATATCACTTTGGAGCAGGTAAAAGAGGAAGTTGAATTGGCTATTGGAAAGCATCTAACAGGCATCAAGTGGTAAACCTACTTTTCAAATTAAATATTAGATTTTTTCAGACTTTGCTGTTATAAATACTTTATTCCCATCTTTATCTTTCTTTAGGATTTGTGAGAAAGAGATTCATCCTTTGGAATCAAGGAACCTACAGTTAAAGTTTTTGAACAATCTATCGCTTCCTGTGTTTACTTCAGCTCGGATAGAAGGAGATAACGGTCAAGCTATACGAGTTGGATTAATCGATCCTTCAACTGGCCAAATCGTCTCCTCTGGTCCCGCATCGTCTGCCAAACTGGAGGTTTTTGTTGTCGAGGGTGATTTTGACAGTGATAGCGGTTGGACATCTGAGGATATCAGGAATAACATTGTAAGAGAGAGAGAAGGAAAGAAACCTCTACTCAGTGGGAATGTATTTGCGGTTCTTAATGATGGCATCGGTGTCATGGATGAAATTTCATTTACAGATAACTCTAGCTGGACTAGGAGCAGGAAGTTCAGACTCGGTGTACGAGTAGTGGATCAATATGATTTTGTCAAAATTAGAGAGGCAATAACAGAGTCCTTTGTTGTAAGGGATCACCGCGGAGAATGTAAGTATTGCTTGTTCGTTTATTCTCTCACACTGTGTACCCTTTTGAACCACTTTTGGAGTATTTTCTTATGGTATAATTCATAAGATATGTACAAAAGTTATCTTTGAGTTTCTTAGTATTTTTTCGGCCGAATTGAGAGAATTATTATTTCTAGTATTCCTCTCTGTGTTTAGATGTTGGATTATCTGAATAACTAAAATATTTGGTTTCTTTCTTCTGCCTCCTTCTCTCCTTCTCTCTTTCTCTCTCGTTCTTTCTTTTCTTGTAGTGTACAGAAAGCATCATCCTCCTTCTCTATTCGATGAAGTATGGAGATTGGAAAAGATAGGGAAAGATGGAGCATTTCACAAACGACTGAATAGGTCAAATATAGAAACTGTCAAGGATTTCCTAACACATTTCCATTTAAGCTCACTAAACCTCCGGCAAGTAAGATTCTTCTTTATTTCGGTAAACTATCTGTGGTTTTGTACCTAAGGCTTTTATGGGTACTACTTGATGATGATTCATGTTCTTGCAGATTCTTGGTACGGGTATGTCTTCGAAGATGTGGGAAATTACTCTGGACCATGCTCGTTCATGTGTTCTGGATAATAGCGTCCATGTGTACCAACTTCCTGGATTTCAGAAGAAAACTGCTGTGGTCTTCAATGTCGTAGCTCAAGTGCTTGGACTGCTCGTGGATTTTCAGTATATTCCTGCTGGAAAGTTCTCAGAGATTGAAAAGGCACTGATC